CAAATCATACACGCTGTGGGAATCGGGGCTGCCTCAACCATCCCCTCACACCTTCCTCTAGAGGCCCAGGCACACTCGGGGGTCTTGCTCTCCCATATCTTCAGACCATGGGACATGTACTCTTTCTCCCCAGCACCCACCCCTCCCTTCTCCTCACTACCTCCTCCTTGTTTCCCAGACTTTGCTTAGCCATGCCTATCTCGAGAGACAGGAACACACCACCCATCCCTGTCCACACACCTCCATCCCCACAGTGCCCTCGACTCACCCCTAGAACAGAACAGGGCACAGTACGTTTTACTGGCTGGTTGATATATGTCTCCCCCACTGACAGGGAACTCCTGAGGGGGACTGTGTTTTGTTCACAACAGCACCAGAGTCCAGTGCAACACCTGGGCTCAGAGCAAGCACTCAATAAATGTTTGCTGACAGAGGAAGGAGGCAACGACTAGACTTTCCTACACGTTGACAGACACACAGAAAAATGAGTGAAGTTGTAAAATCACCGTGTTTTTTATCTTCAGATGGACTCTTGTGCCAGTTTTGGAGCCAGCGCAGGAGTTTGTTGGCACAGCTCTGGTCACCTTGCTGTCCAATTATGGTCTTGAGCGAGGTTGGCTTATATTTATCCACCCAGAGCAAATTTTCCACTTTGTTTTCACTGCTGTCATCAGCCACGGTCCTAGCCTTGCTGTCACCATTTGTCTCCTCAGCCACCTGCTCCTTGAGGTCCAGGCCTCTCCGAAAGCCACTTTTTTCCTTTTTTATTGGCTTTACAGAGCTGTCCCTTTTGGGAGTCAACTTGCTCTTTTTAGATTCTGATTCTTCCTCAGTTGGACTAATTTTTCTTTTTCGTTGTTCACTTTTTTGGGGTGTTCTCTCCAATTTGGACTTTTCTTTCTTCATCTTAAAAAGCGGAAAAGTGAGGGAAAAAGAAACCTGATGAGACATACAGAATTTCTATCCTGCTGAATGCACTCCAGAAGGCAATTTCAGATATCCAAGTGAGCTACTCAAACAAGGTTGGTCTTTTCACATTGGACCCTGCTGTTTGTAGAAATCACCACCTTCCAAACTTTATAAAAATGAACCATTAACACACCAAAAAGCACCCAAATGCAATTTTTTAAAGTGAGAACATATTGGTTTTTTTGAAAGTAATAAGTATTCCAAATTTAGTTTGAAAAAACAGGGTAAAGAGTTAAGAGGTTTTTGTTCCAAAGTTCCTGACTAGATAAAAGTTAATGCCTCCACAAAAACTTGTACACAAATGTTCATAACAGCATAAAATTATATATAAAATTATAAGTATATATAAATATATATTATAATTATAAATATATATAAATGAATATATATATTAAATTATAGCCAAAAGATGTAAACAACCCAAATGTCCATTAACTGATGAATGGATAAACAAAATGGGTATATCCACACAATGGAATGTTATTCATAAAAAGGAATGAAGTATTGATACATGCTACAACATAACTGAACCTTAAAACCATTACACTAAGTGAAAGAAGCCAGACACAAAAAGCCATCTATTGTATGGATCCATTCATATGACATGTCCAGAATAGGCAAATCCACAGAGATAGAAAGTAGAGGTGTGATTGCCAGGGCGTGGGTATGATGAGTGAGTACTAATGGGTATAGATGGGGTTTCTTTTTGGAGTGATGAAAAAGTTCTGGAATTAGACAGTGGTGATGGCTTGTGAATATACTAAAAACCACTAATGTATACACTTTAAAAGGGTGAATTTTACGATATGTGACTATTTTTAGAAAAATAGTACCTCTTTTCCAGTGGATGTTAAAATTGGTCAATGAACGTATGAGGAAAAACAGGATATTAGCATAATCTTACAGCACCTCCTTAAAATAGTTACCAATACAAAGGGAAAAATAGTCACTTTACTGGTAGAGAAACCAGGCAGATATCATGTTAACCAAGTAATCAAGGTTATCATCACCAATAACAAGACATTTTTTTTTT